AGTTGCTCTAGGTTCAGTTGAATTGTATCGGTGACAAAAACTTCAGAAGTGCTAAAAATGTAACTTCACTGCTTATTAAAGAAAAGTACCAGGCGGCCATTTTTACCAAACACTATACACGTTATTGCAATCCTCCCCCCTTCCCCCTCCCCTAAATCCCCCCCCCCTGAAATATCCTCGATCCGCCAAAGAACATACAGTGAACCACACTCTTTCTCCCTTTCGCTATAGCTGATATAAAGTAGACTAGATATACTTTATAAAACAGCGTCTAAGAATGGGGGAATTTCCTAGAGCCACAGGGAGGGAGTGTATGGCAACGATGAAGGTGAGCAGCAGGGTATATAAAGGGCAGAACGAGATGTCGCTTCTTCAGTAACCCAAGAACCACGAAAGTAAAGGTAAAGTGATTGGGGAAGGAGGTCGACATCCCACTATGAAGTAAGTTGAATATTGGATTTTCTTTTTGCTTGGCTGTGCTCGCGTCCTTGTGTGTTTGTGTGTGTGTGTGTGTGTGTGTGTGTGTGTGTGTGTGTGTGTGTGTGTGTGTGTGTGTGTGTGTGTGGTGTGTGTGTGCAGACACAGCGCCATGAGTAAAAATATGAAACAGTGAAAAATGGTAATCACAATAAACATTGGGTTTTACAAATTCAAATTTTAGAGGTTCCATTTTAAAAGATAAAACCAGTTTTATCATTTAAAAAGGGGAAGCAGTTTCCTAGAATTATGATCTTTATGCTGATTCCCGAAACACAACACTGTCACGACCCCAAAACAAATGCAACTTAACCTATAACGTGATTGTGCTCCCTTGAAGTCGCCGAACGCTAAGCAAAGTCCAGGTAGTACAGTGTTAATCAAATAAGTGCTTCCCAAGCCATCACAACCAAGGTCTATATAAGTACAGGTCTCGTGGTAAGGCCTATGACGTCACGCGGCGTAGACTGAGAGCGGGTGGGGAGGGGTGGGGGGGGATTAGAGCATGGTAGGGTGGGAAGGAGATCACAGAAAACGGTAGCAAGTGAGCATATACTTAAGTAATTTTAAATGCCGGTTCATTGGACCATTTTCATATTGGACAAATTTCACAAGATAGACCTTGCCCACAACCTTATCAACCCCGTTTTGTAGGGAATGGTCTCAGTATCTATTTATAACTGCGTCTATAGTTTATTAATAGTAATAATGATAATAATAATATATTAACAATAATGATAATAATAATAATGATAATAATAATGATAATGATAATAATAATGATAATGATGTAATAATGATAATGATAATAACGATAATAATAATAATAATTATAATAATAATGATAATAATGATAATAATAATAATATAATATTAATAATAAAAGAATGATAATAATAATGTAATGATAATAATAAATATAATAATAATAATAATAATATATATAAAATAATAATAAATGATAATAAATAATAATATTAATAATAATAACAATGATAATAATAATGGTAATGATAATAATAATAATAATAATAATAATATAATAATAATTAATGAATGATAATGATAATGATAATGATAATGATAATGATAATGATAATAATAATGATAATGGATATAATAATATAATAATAATAATGATTATGATAATAATAATAATAATAATATAATAATAATAATAATAATAATATAATAATAATAATAATAATAATGATATTGATAATAATAATAATAATATAATAATAATATAATAATAATAATAATAATAATATAATAATAATAATAATAATAATAATAAAATAGTAATAATAATAATAATAAATGTAATTAATAATAATAATAATAAATATAATTATGATAAGGATAACAATAATAATAACAACAACAATAACAACAACAATAATAGCAATAACAAAACAATAATGATAATGTTAATAAGAGCAAGACAACAACATTCACCGATCGAACACCGTCTCCCACAGGTTCTTGCCGCTTCTCCTGCTGGCGGTTCTCCCGAGCCTCGCCCTCGGCTACGGAATCGGACGCCGCGACCCCCAGGACAAGGTTGAGCTGCTGCAGGAAATCGAACAAGTTTCACAGCTTCACCAACAGGAAGAGGAAACACAGGAAGTTTCAACAGCTTCACCAACAACAAGTTTCACAGCTTCACCAACAGGAAGAAGAAACACAGGAAGTTTCACAACATCATCAAGTTTCACAGCTTCACCAACAGGAAGAGGAAACACAGCAAGTTTCACAGCTTCACAAACAAGAAAAAGAAAACACCAGAAGTTTCACAGCTTCACCAACAAGAAGAAACACAAGAAGTTTCACAGCATCGCCAGCAGGAAGAGGAAACACAGGAAGTTTCGCAGCTTCACCAACAACAAGTTTCACAGCTTCACCAGCAGGAGGAAGAAACACAGGATTTCACAGCTTCACAAACAGGTAGAAGAAACACAGCAAGTTTCACAGCATCACCAGCAGGAAGAGGAAACACAGGAAGTTTCACAGCTTCACCAAC